CATCTCTACAGGGTCATAAAATTGGTACCACTTTGTGCGAAGTCGTCAGTGGTTGTTAAAGATGGGACCTGCAATGGAAATGTGGAATTTCCACTGGAGGTGAGTGCTGCACAATGCCCGTAGGAGCATAGAGACCTTTTGTCAATCCGCTGCTGGATGAGGGCCTCCCCACGCCCTGCTGGTTCTGGAGGCCGTTTTACCATACTTCACCCCAGCTGGTCAGTGTGGATTGGTAAAGGCAGACAGCATAAAAGTACAGTACAAATGGATATAAACACAACGTGGCCTCCAGCCCTATGACACCCATCCAGGCACTGTCCAAGCTCAAATCTGCTTGGCTTTCGAGGTCCTACCAGATCGGCCGCATTCCAAGTTTGGATGATTTGTTCATAGCTGTCCTGGCGAGACGTTAACTACCTCGCATGGTATACAGCAGGTCGTGGGTTCGATGCTTACCCTCGCGCCTGGAAATTTGGAGTTTGAATATTCTCCCGTGGTCGCGTGCATTTTTCTCCGGGTCCTCTGGGTTTTCACAACATATTTACAAATATCTGCATCAAGTATTTGGCTGCTATAAATTTCCACAAGATAAGCCACTAAATTGGGCTTTCATTTGTCGCCAGGTCGCTTCTGAAAAATAACTATATAGCTTTAGTAGGACTCACATAGTAAAATCAAATTGTAGTTAAATAGTTGAAATAGTTTTCACAGTAATAAAATTGGTAAAATACACATTTTTCAATGCACACACTTTTATTTCCACTCAAAAGTACTAAATAAATTATTTTGACCCCAACATGTATCAAATTTGATGTTCATAAAAAGTGGGTGGTCTCCTTTCGATATGTTTAATTTACTTCATGCAAGCCACCCACTTTTATTCAGCACAATAAATTTGATTAAATCTGGAATAAAAAATTATTTATGTTGTACTTTTGAGTGGAAATAAAAGTATGTGCATTTAAAAACTTGTATTTTACCTTTTTCTTTCCTCATGAGCACAGTTGGTAGTGTCTCAATCTCATAATGTGAAGGTAGTGAGTTATGTGACAATACTAACGTGGTTATTTCCCTGGTTGTGTTATTCTTTGTGATGATTAAAGGACGATACTTTTTTATCCAAACACTTGGATAAAAAAATGCGAGAACACATTATAGTTATGGATGGCTGATTCATGAAAGTTAATTGAAACCATTGAGTCTAAGATATTGAGAGCAAAATAAACATTGATCCATATCATATTCTTAGCTCATTCGGTAAAGTCATGTTGAAGGGAAACAATAAAATAATAAAATATATTTAAAACAATAAAAATTCTCACGACGTTTCGACCATAACACAAACGGTCGTCATCAGGTGTGTCGGTTTGCATAAATTTATTTATTTTTAAACGGTGTGTTTATTTATTTATTAAAAAACGTCAGCGCCACGCGCAGCGAACTGGCAGTTTATTTAGAAGGACTAGTCCATCTATGTTCTGAAAAGAGGAGGGGGAAGACGAAAAATTAATGTATGCTGTCTGAAAGCCACCATAAGCGTGAACAATCAATTAAGACCTGAAATGGTTTATCAAATCTTTCCAATGATTGCTAAGCCAGAATCCATCTTCTCGCTTGAAATTGTCTCTGTGCTTGTATATGTGGATAGCCTCATGATCGAATCTCTCATGGTAGCCAGATGGCTTACAAAGAACCTCTGTCTTGGAAAAGTCAATGTCATGTGAGCCTACTGAATTATAACAATGATCTGCAACGGCTGAGGTGTTGGTCCTACCGTGTTTAAGGTCTGCTTTGTGTTCACGAATGCGGTCCGAGACATGGCGTTTGGTTTCTCCAATGTAACTACTACCACAGAGGCAACTTAGTTTATAGACACCAGGGTACTGTATGTCCGGAATCACATCTTTTACAGACGGAACCAGATCACGGATTTTATGTAATGTGTTGAAACGGACCTGGATCTTGTGTTTAGTCAAGATTTTGGAGATCTTTTTTTGTGATCCCCGCAATGTAGGGTAAAGTGATGGTTTTGAAAGGCTCCTCAAGAGGGTCCTTCTTCATGGTTTGAGTGATAGCTTTGCGGATTGTATAGTCGGAGTAACCATTAGCCTTAAGAGCTTGGTGTACGTGCTTGATTTCACTGCCTATGTGTTCCTGGTCGGATATGCATTGGGCTCTATGATACAGAGTCTTGATGAGAGAGTTCTTCTGTGATGGATGGTGGTGGGAATCCGGTTTCAGATAATCATCCGTATGGGTAGCTTTCCTGTAGGCAGAGTGGCTCATTGAACCATCAGGTCTCTTTTTAATTAGGACATCCAAAAAAGGTAGCTTGCCATCTTTTTCGACTTCCATGGTATATCTGATGGCTGGGTGTATGGAATTGATGTGGTCGAAGAATTGGTCTAGAGCAGGCCGGCCATGTGGCCAGATGACAAAAGTGTCATCCACGTACCTCTTCCATAAGGTTGGGCGCAGAGTGGCAGTCTGGATGGCGTCAGTCTCAAATTTCTCCATGAAAATGTTAGCTATAACCGGAGATAGGGGGGAGCCCATGGGTGCCTTCAGTTTGTTTGTAGAAAGTTCCATTCCAAGTGAAGTATGCATTGGTTAAACAGTGTCTCACCAGGGGGGTACCTCAGTGTTTAGTCCTTGATGAACCAAGTCTTCAATGATTGCGATGGTGTCAGGTACAGGAACCTTGGTTAATAAGGAAACTACATCAATACTGACAAGCAGGTCGTTTGGGGACAGGGAAATACCCTTGATTTTCGATACGAGGTGAGTAGAATTTTGTACCGCAGAGGTGGTTTTTCCAGTGAAAGGACGCAGGATTTCAGACAAAAACCGAGCCAGTTTGTAGGTGAAGGAGTTGATAGTAGAGATGATGGGACGAAGGGGTGTATCTACTTCATGTATTTTTGGTAAGCCGTATAATCTTGGTGGCCTGGCAGCAGAAGGTTCCAACGAAAACTGTTTCGATTGATCAATTAATGCGGTTGAATCAGAAATTATTTTGTTGGTTTGTGTGACGAGGCTGTTGGTGGGATCTCTTTTTATTTTTGTATAACTACCATCGTCGAGTAATTATTTAATTCTTTAATTTTGTTGTTGTATTCTATAGAACAAGGACAACAACAAGATTAAAGAATTACTCGACGATGGTAGTTATACAAAAATAAAAAAGAGATCCCACCAACAGCCTCGTCACACAAACCAACAAAATAATTTCTGATTCAACCGCATTAATTGATCAATCTAAACAGTTTTCGTTGAAACCTTCTGCTGTCAGGCCACCAAGATTATACGGCTTACCAAAAATACATAAAGTAGATACACCCCTTCTTCCCAACGTTTCAACTATCAACTCCCCCACCTACAAACTGGCGCGTTTTTTGTCTGAAATCCTGCGTCCTTTCACTGGAAAAGCCACCTCTGCGGTACAAAATTCTACTCACCTGGTATCGACAATCAAGGGTATTTCCTTGGCCCCAGACGACCTGCTTGTCAGTTTTGATGTGGTGTCCTTGTTCACCAAGGTTCCTGTACCTGACACCATCGCAATCATTGAAGAGTTGGTTCATCAAGGACTAAACACTGAGGTACCCCCGCTGGTGAGACACTGTTTAACCAATAGATACTTCACTTGGAATGGAACTTTCTACAAACAAACTGAGGGCACCCCAATGGGCTCCCCCTTATCTCTGGTTATAGCTAACATTTTCATGGAGGAATTTGAGACTGACGCCATCCAGACTGCCACTCTGCGCCCAACCTTATGGAAGAGGTACGTGGATGACACTTTTGTCATCTGGCCACATGGCCGGCCTGCTCTAGACCAATTCTTCGACCACATCAATTCCATACACCCAGCCATCAGATTTACCATGGAAGACGAAAAAGATGGCAAGCTACCTTTTTTGGATGTCCTAATTAAAAAGAGACCTGATGGTTCAATGAGCCACTCTGTCTACTGGAAAGCTACCCATACGGATGCTTATCTGAAACCGGATTGCCACCACCATCCATCACAGAAGAACTCTCTCATCAAGACTCTGTATCATAGAGCCCAATGCATATCCGACCAGGAACACATAGGCAGTGAACTCAAGCACGTACACCAAGCTCTTAAGGCTAATGGTTACTCCGACTATACAATCCGCAAAGCTATCACTCAAACCATGAAGAAGGACCCTCTTGAGGATCCTTTCAAAACCACCATTACCCTACATTGCGGGGATCACAAAAAATATCTCTAAAATCTTGAATAAACACAAGATCCAGGTCCGTTTCAACACATTACATAAAATCCGTGATCTGGTTCCGTCTGTAAAAGATGTGATTCCGGACATACAGTACCCTGGTGTCTACAAACTAAGTTGCCTCTGTGGTAGTAGTTACATTGGAGAAACCAAACGCCATGTCTCGGACCGCATTCGTGAACACAAAGCAGACCTTAAACACGGTAGGACCAACACCTCGGCCGTGGCAGATCATTGGTATAATTCAGTAGGCTCACATGACATTGACTTTTCCAAGACAGAGGTTCTTTGTAAGCCATCTGGCTATCATGAGAGATTCGTTCATGAGGCTATCCACATATACAATCACAGAGACAATTTCAACCGAGAAGATGGATTCTGGCTTAGCAATCATTAGAAAGATTTGATAAACCATTTCAGGTAATTGATTGTTCACGCTTACAGTGGCTTTCAGAGAGCATACATTAATTTTTTGTCTCCCCCCTCCTCTTTTTAGAACATAGATGGACTAGTCCTTCTAAATAAACTGCCAAATCGCTGCGCGTGGCGCTGACGGGTTTTTAATACATAAATAAATACACCGTTTAAAAATAATTAAATTTATGCAAATCGACACACCTGATGACGACCGTTTGTGTTATGGTCGAAACGTCGTGAGGAGTTTTATTGTTTTATATATATTTTATTATTTTATTGTTTCCCTTCAACGTGACTTTACCGAAATAGCTAAGAAAAGAGTATATTTATCAGTATTATATTCATAATTACTGTGGTCGTGAATAGGGAAGGGCTAGTGATTAAAAGGTTACAAACAAAGCTGAACAAAAACTTTTATAAATATAGCCAGCAGAACGCAAGCCCTTTGGACGTGGCCGTCCATCCCCTTCCATCCATACACCTCTCTCCCATTTATAGAATAATTTTTTTGAAACTAAAAGTTTTTGTTTGAGTTTGCACGTTACCCAAAATCGGATAACTGTATATACATACCTGGGATATCTGCTGATGTGAATGCTCAATCATTACCTATAGAAATATGTTCAACACACTCGTCAATAACACTGCTGTAAAAAAAATATATAGGCCAGCTGAGATATAATTAATAAAGGTTGGAGACTGCACTTAAGACTATGGAGCCTGATGAAATTTTAATGAAACGCGTTTTTCTGAGGGCTGGTTTTGTAATTGGTGTATGAATAATCACTATTAGCAAGTGACTATTAAGGCTAGCATGGCGCACGATGGGGTGATGTTGCCAAAAGCATATTCAGGCCGCCTGTCTCTAGAGTGCTGATGATTGCACATTTTACAGTGTGCTCATTTGAGGCTGAATATACCCAATACGAGTTCTGATATTATCTGCTGCTGATTTTAGACGTGCCCGGGAATCAAAGTCTGTTTGCCAGGTTAATGGTGAAATGCACTTTCCACTGTACCACCACTCACCAGAATGTTAATAACCTACAAACATATCAGCCAGCCGCATCACGGTAGCAGACACACACTCTGAATGTGAGGAATGTCAATATTTGACTGTACCATGAGTACTGCTGCTGGAGATAAAGATGGGTGGTCTGTCACTCCATGTTCACAGTTTGAGGACTGTGGTACGCAGAAGTTGCTGGGTCTGGCAGACGTGAGAGTCGTTGGCGAGGAGCGGAGACATCAGATGCATGAGCAGTGATGATGAGGTATTTATGCAGGAATATGCATGCAGATTGTGACTTTGTGAATAGATTCTTAATGAATGTTAGTACGCAATAATCAGTTCATGTGTTTATGTTCCTCATATTTGCAATGTGTTTGTAGATTGGCTGTTATTGTATTGCGTCACAATTGTAGCGCCCATGCATTTTTCCACGTGCAACTTACCTCATGTCAATAAATTGTGCCAGACAGCCTCCATGTCGACTCAACTTAACACACGTCTGGTGGAAATGGTGCTATGTTAAAACTGTACGATGGTCACACCACACAAACATGTATAACACAATGACATTTTTACGGATCTCTCCAGACGCATTCGGCATCTCTTTCAAAGCTGCTGTACCGATTCTCACACATTGTATGTGTCTAATTATCTAATGCAGCTACTGGTCAATATCACTCTACCCCTCGTCATGCTCGCGCATCGCCCATGTTCAAACGTTAGAACTATTCAAGTTACATATAATTCTAAAAGGAAACATTTGTGTGTATGTTTAAGAAAATTTATGACTGAAGCTATGTTCAAAGTGATTTATATGGGAAAAAAATACTTTCTCAGAACCTTTTGTCGACCCCTTGCAGGCCAGAAGTTACCCAAAAAAAGTTTTCTCAATCGGGAATGAAAATTCATTAAAATGTAATGCAGCTGCGCAGTGGGTGGTCAACTCATTGTGGTGATATTGTAAAGTCAAGTCACGTTAATGAGGCGCACAACAGCGAACTGGCCACTTATTATCATCGAGGTTAAATGCGAACAGTGGTACACACGCTCACTGATGCTACAAGGGTTTTTGTTTACATGTGATACATTATCGGGATGAGTTAAACATTTATTTTGACCATTTCTGATGTTTACAAAAATTGTACGTTTTTGATTGTTGTTATCATTTTGAATATCACGAATTTCAAATTTCACATTTTTTCAACTCCATCTACTCGGGGATTGAGCGGTGTTGTGTGGCATGTGGGCTGATGTGGTGTCTCTTGGTCGATCTACATAGATACAGGGTGTGTTTTTCAGCATCTATTATGTAATTTGCCATTTTTTGTGGAGACCTATTTGTCACATTCATTTAATGATATGTATGAAAGTTAATAACACTTGTTTGGGTAAATTTGAGGTTAACTAGTGCATATACAAGCAGTAATTAACTTACGAATGCCCCACTTACGAGCATCCGCACTTACGAACCGGCTTTCATTAGATATGTTTTAAAAAATACATCTTATCGAAGTTCAATGGTTTGCGCGCGAACCCAGCGACCTCAGTTTGATTCCCGCTCATGGCCAACACCAGTGACGATTATCTGAACCGGTCCTGGGCCTCCCCCAGGTCGAGTCAGCCAAAAATTAGTACCTGGTGCAATGTGTAAACAACGCCACGAGGGAGACAAAGGCAGCAGGGTGCGGTGTTGGCCATCCACCCCCTCATGTGTCGTGTCGGCCTTCATAGTTACTGGCTAACAGCACTTGCGCCAACAGTCTGTTAAGGTTGTACGGGGGGTGGTCGTTGTCGTTGTTGTGTGTGCGCGTGCCCCTGTGTGTGTGTGGGGAGCGATAGTGTAGCGGTTAGCGCGCTGCGCTATGAACCTGGCGACCCGGGTTCGATTCGCGCTCACGGCCAACACCAGTGACGATTATCTGAACCGGTCCCGGGCCTCCCCTAGGTCGACTCAGCCTCAAATGAGTACCTGGTGCGGTGTGTAAACATCGCCACTAGGGAGACAAAGGCGGTCGGGCGTGGTGCTGGCCACCCACCCCCTCGTGTACCGTTCCGGCCTTCATAGGTGCTCGCTAACAGCACTTGCCCCTACAGTCTGTTACAGGCTATATGGGGGATCTTTGTCTTTGTCTTTGTGTGTAAGTAGTGACTCATTCAGCCCCTTCTGACAAGCAAGCCAGGATCAGGACTCAAGGTAAGTGAAAATAAAACCATTTTTTCTTTTCATGTTATTTCACGTTTTATGTACTATACACTATTTATTGCAGTATTACATGCAAATATTTATTTTTGTTGATGAGTTTAACAATGCTTACATTTTTTTGTTGAGCCGTAGCACATTTTATAATACTAACCGTATAGGCAGTGAGAGCTAATTGAAATAGGGTTCATTATATTCTATGTTCTATGGTTATTTCGGTAAAGTCACGTAGATAGAAAAAATAACAATAATATAAAAAAGTATAAAGTGAATAAAAATATCACGACCTTTCGATCACAACACAAGCGGTCGTCATAGGCAAAGGAGTCAGCCTCTAAAGGCAAATATTCAGGATGACTAAATAAACTCGTTTATAAAGGTGTGCGGATGGGCGTAGCCCAAGTGCATCAACAGGACCTGAGTATGGGCGGTGCACCGCGCTCCACACACCACACTGCTGACGGTGGAGGTTAATTATACTGTTGTATATTCATTATACATTATACTATTGTATATATGGAGATTCGTTCCCAACAGTGTTGTGTCTTTAATATGAGCTTCATTGGGGTATTGGTAATAGCGCTAATAATAATAATGCTAAAACGAGGTTGAAGCTGTTCCGCTCCCAATTAGGGTCTTAGTGATGCCCTCAGTTAAATTTCTGTGGTAAGGATTATTTTAGGTGGAGCCTGAGACTTTATCCTGGTCTCTTGAGTTCTCATCTGGCTAAACAAACTGGCGAATTGCCCGATGATGCTGGATGTATTTACCAGCGAAACGTCGTACTCAAACTGTAAATGTGGATTCACTCTTCAACACACCGGTGGGCTAAAGTAGTGAATTATTTGTCTTTTGTCAACGTGACACTTTTTTGCTGATTGGCCGTGTCGGGTGGTGGAGGGTTACGACACATTTATAAATAAACGCGATCTAACCCAAAAACCTTTATTATGAATAATATTGGTCGCGAAAGCCTACGTGTTAAACCAAACTGTAATAACGTTGGGAAGAAAAAAATATTTTTTTACAGAAATAATCGTGACCACAAATAGTTTGATATGCGGGGGGGGGGGGGGAGTCTGAGTGAAGAATGGGGGAAGGTACATTTTCTCACTCGTAAGCGCTTTATGTTTTGATTTCATTTTTTTGTAAAAAAAAATACTTTTCTCCAGGACAAGAGCACTATAACGAATCAGCATTATACGGGATCGAGCTAAGCGAGGTCTGCCTGAATGTTAACCATTACAAATGAATGTATTAACATTTTTATAATAATTATATCTGGACCAATGATTAACATATGCATTACTCACTATAAAAACTGAACATACTAGCCTGTATCAGAATAGCAATTTTTTACTGAAGCTTAATACTAACTGTTATAAATAGTATAGTTTATGATTAAATATATCAACTGCTTTAAAAAAATGATATGCTTCCAAGCCACACTTTATTTAACAATGTCACCTCAATTAAAGTTATGATATCTATCTCAATGGATTCCCTCATTACAATGACCTAAATACGCTGGTAGAATTTGGCGAGTAAACCGTTGCCTAATTCTGCTTAGTGTAGTGTCCTCATAAATAGGCATTGCATGTGTGTCTGTGTGTGCAGTCAACTTTTGGTGCACCCTACGACTTGAGCTGTGCGTTCACTCTGCTGACTGCCCTACAACACAGAACGACAAGATGGGGCTGCTGGCTGATGATGTCGCAACTTCGCCAGAATGGAAATCCTTGATAATGAGTCAAATGCTGATCAGCCTGGCCCTGATCTGTATGGTGTTCCTAACCGTACGGGCTGCCCTGCAAGTGGTGGGGTCAACAATCTGCCCAGTGGGCTTCTCTCCTGGTCCTAAACCATTACCGCTGCTGGGGAACATCACTGCCTTTAGTTGTAAGAATCCCCACATTGGCATGCAAGAATTGGCCAAAAAATATGGAGAAGTCTGTACCATAATGTTGGGGAGTACGCCTGTTGTGTTGGTGAGCGGCTACCAGGCAGTCAAAGAGGTCCTGGTGAATCGAGGTCATGAGTTTGCTGACCGACCAATAACTCCCCTTTTTACTAAACTCACTCACAACATTGGTATCGCATTAGCACCCTATGGAGACACATGGAAGCAGCAGCGTGGATTTGCTTTGTCAACATTGCGCAATTTTGGCTTCGGAAAGGCAACAATAACTGACAAAATATCGATAGAAGCGAGGTACCTAATAGAGACTTTCAAACAGGAAACCTCAGAATTTGACCCTAAATTTATTTTAAACAGTGCTGTGGGCAACATTATTTGCTCCCTCCTGAATGGGATCCGATATGATTATAACAATGAGCAGTTCCAAAAGCTTACGCACCTCCTTGAGCATCTGGTGCAGTTACAAGCAGAGCCGCTGGTAATACTGTGCAATGTATTCCCATTTCTGCTAAAGTTGCCTGGGCCATGGCAGAAAGTATTCCATATTCACACAAAGTTGCAATGCTTGCTCAAGGATATAGTATCTGAGCACCGTGCCACAAAAGATCAACACAACCCCAGGGACCTGATTGACTCATATCTAGCTCATATTGATAAGGAGAAGGACAATCCCAACAGGAGCTTTACTGACCAGACCCTCATTCTGTTATTGATAGAACTTTTCATTGGTGGCATGGAGACTACCTCCAACACACTATGCTGGGGCCTCCTCTTCATGATGATGAACCCCGACATTCAAGCCCGATGTCATGAGGAGATTGACAAAGTTGTGGGATCCGAGCGACCGCCATGTATGAAGGACAGACGCAGCCTGCCCTACTTGGATGCTGTGATCCATGAGATACAGCGCTTTGGAAACATTCTTCCAATTGGAGTTTTGCACCCTACATCTAAAGATGTGCAGTTCAACGAATATGTGTTTCCAAAGGGAACCCATGTAATGGTAAACCTCATGTCTGCTTTTTACGATGACATCCACTGGAAAACACCACATAAGTTTAATCCTGATAATTTCCTTGATAAAGATGGCCAGTGTATCAAATCGGATGCTTTCCTGCCATTCCCTGCTGGTCCCTGTGTCTGTTTCGGGGAAAGTTTAGCCAAGATGGAGCTTTTCCTTTTCTTCACATCTCTCTTGCAGCACTTTGAATTTTACTGGCCCAACTCTGCCTCTCCTCCCACTTTAGCTGCCAAATTCAGGACCACTTTATCGCCACACCCCTATAAATTAGGATTACGCATGCGCAACTCACCGTAGCTAAGACAAGATTACGACCCATAGACGTCTTCATGTGTAAAACTAAACACCTTTTGTCCTGGCTTTGTACGGACTTTTTTGCAAATCATGGCAATTGTCATTAGGCCAAGGTCCATAGCTAAATATTGTAATGCCCAGTATCAGGAACAGTCAATTCAAATTTAAATGATTGCAATTAATGAAAGTGATATGCAATATAATCCTTTGCTTCAATAAATATACGTATTTTAGAACTTTAATACATCGACTATACAGTTTTTAATATTAATTTCAGGTTTGGTCCCAGTCTCTTGTCTCCTGGAGTAATGCCTCTGTAAACATACTTACGTAAAATCATTACACTCACTATATCCATATACCAGCATAGCCATTACCTAAAAAAAACTCACACTTTTAATGATATAATAACAATAAAATAATGAATCCACGTCTGATTAAAGTAACCTTACTATTGTGAGCTCTGAATTGAACAAGAACATAACCATTATTCTGTCATAATTCAACTGCTCACCTGCGAAGCTGACAGTGGTTATGTTCAAGTGTGGTGGCATTAACATAAATATTGTTGCTTGATGTTTAAATTTGAGGGCCACTGGTTTGGAGGTGAGGACCCACTTGTGCAGCCACTGTAGATGTTTCATGCAGTGCAGGTTCGAGTAATTCCTTGGTACTCAATAAGGATACATCATGGCACAAAGGTGGCCTAGGGTAAGGTATCAGAAATTATCTTGGCGTGTATGACTCATGCATTGTGTAATGATTAGCACACTTGACTTGCATTCCAGAGAATAATGATTCAATTTGATATAATAGCACAACAGTACAAGAAGTGTAGCCTCTGTCCACCTAGCATTATTAATGGTTATACCACAATTAAGTTGATTAGCTAGTAACGTGTGGTGGGGTAAACTGTGACTAGGCCCACCTCTTTAAGCACTTGGAAGAGTAGGCCAAATACCCTCTGGAGCTCCCTCAAGTGTAGAGGTGTAAGCAAGCAATTGCAGGCATACTCTTTTACTTTTTATTGAAAAACGAGGGAAAATTTACCTGTTTTGTCAGATCTAACAAAGGAAGGGAATCGCCAGATAACCCTCAAAAAGTCACCAGATATCGCTATTTAACATTTTAAAGTTGCCAAAAATGTTGCCAGAAATATGTAACTTGAATGAATGAAATTACTCATATTCTTAAAATGTATTTTATTTATAGCATGTGAACAAAAATGATGACGTAGATATAAATTAAATATTGTAGTAATGCATTAATGTCAATCAAGTTGGCTACCTGCACAGCTCCTCAGGCAGCTTTGAGCCAGCAGTCAACATCGTTCTTCACCAGCAGGTTATCTTTATTGCTGTTGTCCACATTTTAAAAAGTCACTAGACCATAGTCATCTTGATACTTTTTCATCGCTTCGGAAAACTCAAAAGTTGCTAAACATAGCAACACAATTACTTGGTTTGCAACACTGAACTTAACACACGGAGACTTGGGCCAACCACTAGTACCTAAAGATGACTTGTTGACCAATTAAGTCTACAAGTGCTGTGCAATTTATGAGTTTGTGCTGGCTAGTGAGTGCAATTCATTACTTAATTCCCATTGGAATTGATTACGGATTCCTGACTTTCGGAATAAGTAACCGTTAATATCATCTTTTGTATATTAACGGCTTGTGCAGATTATACACATGTGCAGACAGTGCTGCTGAGTGCGAGAGGGTGGGTATGAAACTGGGTGTTAATGTTTTGTTATTGTTTCTGATCATCCTAAGTTGTGAAACGCTATTGTAGTGAGTCACTTCTGAGACACTAATAGTAGGAGGCAACACACGTTGATTCTACAATTAGACACTTGTTCACACACGGGATAACTATAAATGGGTCAGGACAGCCGGTACGTTGCCTGACCCACGACGCCGGAGACGAAGACGTAGCACGATGGGTTCCATTCCAACGACAGACAGCCCTGATCCAGCCTCGGGACTTCTCTTTTATGCCCCCCGGCGTGGCCTGGCTCCGCCCTCGGCCACGCCCCCTTCTGGAACCCACCAGAAGAGTCTGGGTTATACCCCACGTGTCCCCTGAGTCACCTTTGGCCCACATCCCTGACCTCCGGCCTATCACGTACCCTGTTAGCCGGCAGGGCTGCTATGTCCTCATATCAACCAGCGCTACGCACCCTAGTGACCCATTCCATCGCATTACATGTTCTGCTGGAAGATCGGCTGTTACACCCTGCTCTGCTGGCAGGTCGGCTGTTACGCCCACAATTCCCCTCTCTGTCAGTAACCAGCGCTATGCGCCGTAGTGACCCATTCTATGTCACTACACAATTATGACTACTCTATCATAGTGTAGTGAGTCCAACTGAGTCGCAGACATTGTCTTGGGAGCAACACTATTTATTCAACCAACTTCAACACAACATAACACAACCCACACTCGGGTATTGAATGCCCATCTAACCACGCTACGGCAGAACTAGACACGGTTCGCTATCCCGGCTTGGACCACAATCTGGATCCCGGACCCCGTGGCTAGAGGCTTCTTCCCGACGTGGATCTTCATCACCAGCAACACAAAAGAACCCCAAGCCCCTCACGGGGCCCCCGTTATATCCCCCTGGGCTGGGCTGGTTCCGCCCTTCGCCCCGCCAACCTTCCAGATCTCTCGAGCTTTTTCTCGAAGGCTCCCGAGAGCTCTTTTAGACTTCGTGACCGCCCAGCGGCCCCCGTCCACCGGTGGCCCCCCTCCAATATCATCCAGTCACATGTCAGCAGGTCAACCAGCGTATCATGCCCCAACGTATCCCTGGCTGGCTGACACTCCCTCTCGCTCCCTCACCGGGAGCCTGCACCGCACACTGCTCGCTGTACCTCCGCGCTGACCAGCGCTCCCCCAAACCCCGCTAGGGCTGGTACTACGCCCCGTAAGCGGGCTACACATAATGTCAACATTATCTGCCGTGGCTTCGTAAGCCCGGCACCACACAGTGACAATCACAGCCACTACAATAGAATGATGTAAGCCACGTTTGACAACACTGTACAGCAAAGCATTGGCCATCGCGGGGGTTATGTTCTTATAAATAGCCACAATCGGCAAATCCATTATCCGCAAACACAAAGATATATAGGCTAACGGAGGTTTGGTTCATGGTTTGGAATACATCCCCTCCTATTGTTTTTATATTACCCGTCAACTAAAACATTAAACAGGAAGTGTTTTGATTTAAATTTGATTAATATTTTCTCGTGTTAAATATAACTTACGCGGTAAATTTATAGAATGTAAAAAATTACGTAGCGTACTATACACATATCTGTGTACAGTAATGTACATGACAGGACGAAAAATCGTGCAGCTGAACCCGACTGGAGGCCGGGAGCATGTGACCTGATACCAGCAAACAAGATGGAGATACGATGGCATGGTGTGCCCTTCCGTGGCAGCATCATTGCTTGCAGTACAGTTACTATGCATACAGGAATCTCGCAGTGAACGACACGTCCTCCAGCAACAGGGGCGCGATTGGCGAACTGTTGCTCAATAAATGTTGTGCAAAACAGAGATAGCTTCACCCATAAGAGGGAAGGGTATGATGTACTATGCTGAGCCTACGCGTAGCTTATGCATTTTCTCATAATCACCATAAATACCTGAAAGATTGGGGGGGGCCTTTGGCCAATGGCCAGACGAGTTGTCACCTCATCAGCACGATATTAATTATTTTGAGATGACAGTTTTTCTAAATTGTCACTGATTATCGCTGTATATAGACTACAAATTTTAAAACCGATTACCTTTCACTACCGGTAACATTGTAAAAAAATATCATAAGCCATTTGCCTGTTTTTCACATATACGATATAAAAAATAAAGATAAATGTACAACCATGTGTTGCATTTCTTTGTGTGTCATCTTCGATATGGTGTAATGGTTAACACACTTGACTTGTAATTCACCACTCGTAAGTTTCTATCTCCTAGCGAGCAGTGGTAACAAGTGGGTTAAGTTTAGCCCCCTTGTGTCCACCCAGCCATATATATCAGTGCAACAATATTACAGGCAGTCCTCTACTTACGAACACCTTTACTTACGAACCAGCTTCCATTAAAAATTAAAAAAAGCATTTACTTCAAATTAGAACTCGCACGTGCAAACTGAACTGTGGAACTATTTTGATCAGTGGAGTGATCCTCCGCAAGATGTAATGAGCCATCCTCGTGCTGGGAGTGTGTGTGTGCACACTCACACATTGTGTGTGTGAAAGTGAGTGTGTGTGTGAAAATGAGTGTGTGGGAAACGGTAGTGTAGCGATTAGTAGGCTGCGCTACAAAAGCACCGACCCGAGTTTGCTTCTTGCTCATGGCCAACACCATTGAAGATTATCTTAACCGGTCCTGAGACTATGTCGACTCAGCCCCAAACGAGTACCTGGTGCGGTGTGTAAACATCGCCACTGGGGAGACAAAGGCAGCCGGGCGTGGCGCTGGACACTCACCCCCTCGTGTGCTATGCCGGCCTTAATTGGCACTGCTCACTAACAGCACTTGTCCCAGTAGCTTGGTAAGACCATACAGGGGATCGTTGTCATTGGGGTGTGTATCTGTATTTTTACGTGCAATTGTAGTGACTCAAGGTAAGTGAAAATACAACTTTTTTATATTTATGTTGCTTTATTTAGTGTTTTATTTATATATATTTTCACAAGATCACATGTGTAGCATCAGTGCGCCGACTGACGGCTGTAAGGACTAATTGCGGGTGGTAAAACAGCATAGCCTAAGTACGTGGGAGTGACGACAAGAGGGAGAAGAACTGCACCAAGGGTCAAAGAGGGGGGTCTATCGGGAAGCTCCCAGAACCCGCGAGATACTTCGCGAAGAGGGGTGTGGCCAGGGGCGGGGCATGGCCCCGCTAAGGGGATATAAGGGAGAGTGGAACGGGGTCCTGGGTGCGCGAGGAATTCGGGGTCCTCCACGTCATCTTCATCATCGTCGTTGCTGCTGTCTCATTGTCATTGTCGGCGCTGTGTAGCTGTCTCACTATTTAGTGAACATCGTTATAAGTCACTATATAGTCTACCAGCTGTATAGTCAGACATTGCCATGTCGCTGTATAGTCAGCCAGCTATATAGCCAGAGATACATTTTAGTGACCGTGCCATTAAAAGTTGTAACTGTATGTCAACGGGAAATAAATGGGAAGCCCTCCTCCAGTCCGTGTCTGAA